CACTTAGGAACTGTGTGACCCGGAGCAAGTTGCTTAACCTTGCTGTGCCTGGTTTCCCTGTTGTGATAATAGGCCCTGGTGATAAGATTTGAATGAGATGATGCCTATCAGGCGGGGCCCCGCAGCACATGGGGAAGGGTAGCCTTTGTCCTTCTGCCGGGGGCCAGGGCAGGGTCTAGGCAGAGGCCTCCTTGATCACCCTGTCCATCAGGCAGGTGCAGCCCTCAGAGCTCACGCAGGGGAGTGAGGAGTGGCTGCTCTGAGGCAGAATGAGGAGTGGGCGTCCTGGAGGTTCCCTGGACCCTGAGAGGGAGTTGGGAGGTGCAGGGAAAGTGCTGGAAAGAATTGTTCCCTCACCCGCTGGACCTCATGCCCTTCCCTTTGGGAGGTGTCACTGGTCTGGGTTCTGCAGCTACCAGAAATGGCCACCAGGTGTCACCCTCAGCTCATACTTGAAGTGAAGGCAGCACAGAAAGAGGGAAAGGAGCTGGGCAGAGAAAAGGGGGAGTGGGGCGGAATGCCCCCCAGGGACTGGGTGAGCCTGGAGAGGGCCCCAGGCTGCTGGGGTGGCTGTTAATTTCTGCAGGAAGGTGCTCTTCAGAGGTTCATTGGTCTGCCTTCTGAATTCTCCTTCCCATGCCGATGGCAAATCACAATTCAACAGGTGCTTTATAGGGCACCTGCTCCACAGAAGAGGTAAGAATCTTACTGAACACCTACTATGTGCCAGACCCTGTATACACGATAGGCCATTCAATATGCACAACAACTCTGTATAGTGAGTACGATTATGAGGCCCATGTTACAGATGGGGAAACCAAGGCTCATACCGGTTATGTGTTGGGCCAAAGGTGGCCCAGCTGGACAAGGACTGAGTCCTGTCTGGAGCCTAAATTCTTTCGCCTATGCCAGGTTAACTTCCAGCGAGTTCTAGGATAGGAAACCTGCAACAGGCTTCCCACCAGGTTGGGAGAGGATGTGGCAGGTGGCAACCCTGCCTGGCTCTGCTCATCAGGAGCTAGTGAGGCGCTCAGACAGGCCACGCTGCCAGCAGGCAGAGGAGGGCGCTGCGCTCACCAGGGTGGCTGGAAGTGGGATTGTGCTTGCTGGGTGTTGGGCATGGGCAGGCTGCAGACGCAGCAGCAATGAGTGGCTCTCTCCACCTGCCCGTGTGCTCCTCTGAGCAAACTCCCCACCCAGAGTTATTTCAGTTTGCTCACCTGTCAGTTCTAGGGGTGGACTTTGTTCATTCAACACCCTGTCCCTGCCGCCTGCCCCCTGCCAGGCTCTAAGCTGACCATTTCTCAGGACAGATACTAAGATAAACAAGATAGGCCATCCCCCATCCATGACAGCCCCTCCGTAAGCCTAGACCAGTGGTCTCCAAAGTTCTTTTGATGGTGCCCCCAGCAAAAAAAGTTGTTGAGCATGCACCTGTAACATAAGCATATTTTTATATTACCTTGTAAAACACACACTAAATGAAAAAGAGATGAAATTTAAAAAAACAAAACAGATGTCCTAACATTTTCCTCCTGCACCTCTGCACCCATGCACACACACTCTAGACCCAACTGCTCCAGGAGATGGGAGAGTCGAGTCAGTCCAACCCCACTCGGGATGGACTGTGGTCAGTGTTCCAGAACATCCTTGCCCACCCCTTCATGCTCTAGCAATGGAAGGGAGAAACTTCAGGGACAGCAGGTGGGAGTGTGGGCAGACAGGAAGCATAAGCACGGGGAGGGACTGATGATCTGGACAAGAAGCAGATTTTTGTTTAGACCCTAATGCTGAAAGTTTTGTGATTACTTTTTAGACTGTCTCAGGACACATAGAACCAGGGCATTGTGTCCCTGGTGGGTCTGATTTCACGTACTTTAGGTAATTCTAGTCCATTTCCAACAGTTTAAAATGTGTCCCCCTCCTGGAAGTTGGGGAGCACTCCCCCTACCACACACACTTCAGACAAGAAGGACAGGGCCTGGCTGGGGAGGCACCTAGGTGCCCCTTCCTCAGGGGCTTCACCCTCCGCTGTCCCTCCTGGGTTGGAGGCCCCTGTAGTCCCTTGCCTTGGCAGGTCCTCCGGCAGCGACCAGTACTTGGGGGCCTCCATGAATATGGGTTGCAGAGGAGGAGGGGCAAGAGGCTGCATCTGGGGTACAGAAGGGAGTCCCTCTAGGAGGCCCCCTTACTCAGAGAAGTCTCAAGAGATACCCCTCTCCCCAACCCTGGCGCTAGAGAAGGACCAAACCGCTTGTGAAGGCATCTGCTGGCACGGAGGGTGGCTGCCAGGTCGGCAGCCATGATGGCCAGCCCGGTGTGGGTGCCTTTGTGCGCCGTGACTGGGTGTCTGTTTCTGTCGTCATTGGGCCCTTGTTCTGTAGGGTGAGGGGTGTGGGGGTGGGAGCACAGCCTGTGGCTAAGCACGTACGTGAGGCTGGGCATGAACAGCCTCACCCACCAGCCCTAGTCCTGCCAGGTACAACCAGCTGCTGCGGCCAGCCGTCGTCCGCCTCCTCCCTTCCCTGGGCACGGCCAGGCCGGGGGGCAAATGACTTGGCTGGCACCTCCCCTCTCTTGGACCCACTGGGGCAGGGCCAGCTCACCTGGGACACAAGCAGGGCTCCCAGCTAGGTGGGTGCTCAGCCAACCGCCCTGCACCACTCTTCACCAGGATGATGGGAGGGGTGAGGCAAGGGAGGGGGCGCGGGGCAGAGATCGGCCCTTCTCCTCTCCCAGACTGTGGATGGGTAGAGCTGGGCAGAGGGAGCTGAAAGAAGGGGGAGTTTCTCTGTTTATGGCCAGGAAATGATTTCCATGCAAATGAGATGCAAACTCCTTAATGAGTTTGCAATTAGGAGTCGAGGCTGCCAGGCCCGGGCAGCGCCTGGGGGTTTTATGAATGGGCCTGCGTGGGGTGGGGGGGCGGCGCGCCGGGCCCGCCCCCACGTTTCCCCGCCGCTGCGCCCGCGACATGCCGCGCCGCACGTTGCTGCTTCCCGGCCCCGCCGCGACCTGGCCCGCCGCCAGCGAGTCAGCTGCTCCTGACGGCGCGGGAGGCTGCCGGCCAGAGTCCTCGCCACGCCGCCGGCCGGCGACGCGTCGGGCCGACGACACGCCCCCGGGGGCCCGGCGGGGGCTCTATCCTCCGGTTATTGGAATGGTTTCCTGAAGCAGGAGGGCGTGAATGAAGTCAGCCTTCGTGCCCTGTTTCCCTTAGGATGGGCAGCCCTTCACTGACTCAGGAGGGGGGTGGGCCCCTAACTTGGGGAGGGGGGCAATGACCTTGGGAGGGATGAAATTATCCGTGAGAGGGGAGTTCCCATCCCAGAACCCCCTGCACCTCCCCAGTCCTTCTCATGCCAGTTCCCACCTGCCTAACCTCAAAAGGCCTGTTCCTGCCAGGTGGGGCGCCTGCTTTTTTTCTGCTGGGCCACCCCAGTCTGCTCTGGGCCTTGCTCTGGCCTGGGGCCAAAGAGTGCATCTCCTGGGTGGGTGGGCTCACTCAGGCCAGCTCTGGTCTGGAAAGAGACTCATCAGAGTTTGAGAGTTTGAGCCCTATTAGGCCACAGACCCTATCCCCTCCCCTCTCCCACTGCTTTCAGAGTAAATTAACTAATTACCTCCAATTAAAGCAGGATGCTCTCTGTTCCCTCCTGGGCCTCAATCCCCGCCCCTGGAAGTCCTCTTCACCCAGGCTGGGTCTGGAAGGGGCCTGGCCAGTAAGGTGGAAGTCAGTGAATCGGTGAGTGGAGCAAGGGGGGGCCGGGGGAAGCCTACAGTGCCATTTACTTCTTGGGAGTGTTCCAGGCAGCCAGGTCCTCTGCCTTCCTGGGGGTCTGGGGACTTGGGCCCTTGTGGGGCCTGCGAAGACTGGGAGCAGGGGCTGCCTTTGGAGATGAGACCTGGGCAAAGGGCCTGTGCAGATGCTGATGGCCTGAGGGCGGCCCTGCTCAGGAGAAGCAATGAGGGGCAGGTCCTAGAAGCTGCCAGTCCTTGGTGGCACCTGCTGCCTCCCTTGCCCAACACACCGGGAGAGACTTCAGATGCCTGGGGGTCCATCCAGTTCCTTCTCTCTCTCACCCCAGCTCTTCCTGCTGCAGCAGTGAGAACCCCTTCATTCTTTTCCTCCTGCCCCTTGGTGGCCCTGAGGCACAGGCCCTAGCCCTCCTCGGCCCACATCGCCCTGGCCCCACCCTGGCACTGCCCTGGTCCCACGTGTGAGACGTGATGGGGAGGATGCCTGGCAGCTGGAGGCAGGGTGATGGGTTGTTGACCCGGGTCTTACCTCTCAGCGAGCTGGCCTCTCCTGAGCCAGGGCAGTACCACACCAGGCTGTGACTCAGACCCCTACCCCACCTTGGGCCCCACCATGTGAAGGACCTGGGCTTGGGCCATCCTTGTGTATGTGGGGTGGGGTTGGGGCAAGGATTTGTCAATTGCAGGCTTCTCTCCCGGGTCACCTTCTCTCCCAGCCCCGAAGAGCCGGGCCATGACTAGAAGGTTCAGGACTTCCAGCCCTGGCTGTTCCTCCCAGCTCACCACCCCAATAGAGACTGACAGTGAGGGCCCCCTGACAAGGCAGAGCAGCCATCAGAGTCAGTGGGTGTGTGACCCATCCAGGGCAGGGCTCTGCTCACAGGAAGGGCTGCCCCTGGGGTGTCCTGACCCCCATCTGCCAGCTTGGCTTGCCCTCCTCTGCCCACTGAAAGCTGGCTCAGAACTCCCCACCTCCAAGAAGGCTTCAGCATGCCTCCCTTATTTGTGGCCAGCCGGGCCACCACTCTCAGCTGACTCCTGGTTTTCTCTGCCACTTGTCCCCTTCTCTAGACCCTCTGTGAGTGAGTCTGCAGGACTCCGTTCTTTCCTGCACTTCCCAGTGGCCAGCAGAGGGCGCCTCCAAAAAGGACCGAGGCTCCAGGGAGGAAGCAGGGGAATCTGCTCCCCTGGATCCAGGCACTGTGCAAAGCTCAGGCTGACGGGTCCGTTTGTGTGAAATGAAACTGACCCATGATGCTTTCCTTCCTGGGCATCTAGACTTAACCTGTCAGCCGAGGGCTAGAGCTTAGACCACAGGCTGAACTCAGGTGGCTGTCTTGGAGGTGAACCCAGGATGAGGGAGCTGCCCCCTCCAGGCAGCCCGAATGGGGAAGGGGCACTGGAGGTTGCCAGCTTTCCTCCCCTGACCAGGGGAGATGGGTTGGGAGGGGCTGCACGGAATAGCTGGTGTCCCACCCTGTGGGAGGGGCTGCTGTGGACATCTGGGCCACATCTGGATTCCTGGCAGGACAGGGAGCTTGTCTATTTGGGATCCTCCAGGGATATACCAGCCGCCCCTTGGTGGCCTCTCACCATTCCATTCCTGGGGAGCTCTTTACAAACAGGTGTATAGGACCCAGCCCTGTAATGTGGGTGAATTCATGACAGTCTAGGAGGGTCCTGACACACATCCTTTGGATGTAGCCTAGGGGCCTGGGCAGCAGCCTGCTCTTCTGCGCCACCCCACCTTTCCGCCATCCTGTCGCAGTGCGCATGGTGAGATGCTGGCCTTCCCCATGTGGAAATGCTGGGAAATAGGAGGCTCTGGTGTCCATTCCCCCTCCTCCAGGTGGGTAAGACTTAGAGGAGAAAGGGAGTGAGGCTACAGTATCTTTTAGGGACCTCACTGCATGAAGGAGTGGGGAAGGACTTGCTCTTGGGTCATCTCACACAAAAGCCTGGGAATGTCATTGGGACGGGAGGAGGGGAGAGGGGACAGCAGGAGTGGTTCTTTCTTGGGTTTGGCTTCTTGGTTTTGGAAAAGAGATCACACGGAGAAAAACCCTCTTGGTCGGCTAGGCTCCAGGACGCCTAGGACAGGGAACAGGGGGATGGCCGTAATAGCCTTGCAGAGGGGAGCGACAGCGAAGGCGGGAGGAGTGGGGGGGAGCGTTGCGCCCACCAGGGCTCTCCCCCAGTCCGTCTCCCCCACCTCTCCCCCGCCCGGCCGGCCGCGGCCCCTCCTCCAGACCTGGGCGCCGCCTCCCCCTCCCCTCCTCCTCCCCTCCTCCTCCTCCTCCCCCTCCCACCCGGCGTTGCAGCTGCTGCCGACGGACCATTCTGCACGTAGCGAATGGAGGAGACGCACAAGGGACGCCTCAAGTGCGCGCGCGCGGGAGCCAGAGCTGCGCGGGCGGGGGAGCGGCTGCGGGCGCGCGTGCGCGTGCGGCGCCGACCCTGAGCGCGCGCGCCGAGCTCCGGAGCGCGCGGCTCCCCTCCGCGCCGAAGTTGGGGGAGCTGGGCCTTGGGACCTCAGCTGCTCCAAGGTCCTCCCATGGCACTCTCCCCCTTCCAGCGAACTCCACCTCTGCCCAGGCGCCTTTTCATCTTCCACCCCAATAGCACTGTCCTTTGTGCGTAGTAGGCGCTTCATGATGACTGGGTGCTGGAATGAATTGGTTCCGTCGCCCTCCTCTTCACCTGGGTCACTACTCTACAGTCAGCTAGGTCCTGGGCTGGGGTCACAGAGGGCTGAAAACTGTGGTAGGGGGAGAGGGAGGCGATGACACTAGATTCATGACCCTGTAGTCCCACCTTTGCCCAGGAGCTGTCAGTCTGGAGGCCCTCACCTGCCCACCTCTCTACCTGAATCCAGGGCAGGCCCCATTAAGACACTAGAGGGCCTAAATGGCTGTCAAGGAAAAACATTCGAATGCGTTGACCTTTATCTCTTGGGTGGGGAACTCCCAAGGAAATGCCTTTCCCTGCTGCCTCCTCCCTCTGCATGTCACCTGCACAACTCCCACTCCCTGGAGCGTCCAGGACAGGACCCGGCTCTGCTCATACTGCTGGCATAAGTGTGGTATGGTGAATACAGAGTCTGTCCTGGCATAACCAGGAGTGCAGAGAGGCCATGCCAGGCTGTGGCCGACAGTGCTCACCTTGGAGTTGTCTCCTGAGTCCCAAGGGCACCCTCCCCACTTCCTGAGCCTCTGATCTGAGGGGTTGGTAAGTGGGCAGCCTGGGGGCTTCCCTTTCCTTTCCTAGATGGCCCAGGTTGGCACCTCGCTCCAACGTCCCTGACACTCAGAGGCAGGGATGAGGCCTCTTCTGGCTCTGTGGGCTTTGGGCAAGGCAGGTGCAGGGCCTTACACAGGGATGTCTGAATAGGATTGGTGGCCTTTTGGACCTCCTATAGTGGTTGGGAGTGTGTTGAACGGGACTGGTTAGTGGCATGTGGGGGTGAAGGTGACTGAGGGTTCTTTGTCACACGTTAACTTGAACTTGCCCAAGTCTGATCTCTTTGAGCCTCTGTTTCCCATCTAATGGGAGTACACCATTCACCTAGTGGGGCTGTTGAGGCTTAAAATGTAGTCAGCATATAAAGCCTCACGTGTTGGAGGCAGATGCTCAGTAAGAGCTAAATCTTTTTTTTATTATCGCGTGTGGACTGGCTGAAAGGCTGAGGATGTGTTTCCACAGAGAGAGTGAATTCAAATCCCAGAGCTGGCAGCTCCTTGGAATTTGGAGGTGGGTTTTGAGAAAACTGTAGAGAAACCAGTAATATGTCATACTTCTGTCATCATTCAAGAATGAACCATTTCACACTAGTTTTCCAGACATTAATATCTGAGACCTTAAAAAGAGATATTTTGGATGGAAATCACTAGTGGGTATTACACACTTTCCTGCTTTCTTAATCAGAGGTTACAGAACATGTGAGTCTTTATGACTCAGAGTTGTGGTTACAAGTGTCCATCACTATCCTGGTTGTAATGCAGTGAAAATCCAGAGTCTTGTTTGGCCCCACACTAAAGGCCCATTCTATGGTGGCTATATTTCGGTAGTTCTTGTGTCTACTTGTTATGGTTCTTCATCACCTCGTCAACTCCCTCCCTGTTAGTTGTCCCTTCCACTACCATCACCTTGCCTGCCTCAGGCCAACCACTTCAGGCTGACCACCCCACCTCATTCTTCTTGACTTGTTTCTGTTCTGCTGTGGGCTGAGAAATCAGAAAATCACATGTTAGAAGATGTGAAAAACAACAAGATTTTTTGAACTTGACAGGTTATATTAAAATTCATCTGGAAAAATAAACATGCTAAAAGAGCTTGGAAAATTCTGAAAAAGAGGCATTATAAGGGGCAACTAGACCTACTAAAATGTTGTATAAAGCTCCAGTAATAAAACAGTTGGGTCCTGGCACAAGAAAAGACAGACAGATCAAAGGAACAGAAGAGAGTCCAGACACACATCCATGAACAAATGGAAATTGAATATATGATAAAGTGACATTTTAGATCAGAGGAGAAAAGAAGAATTATTCAATCAAATTGGACAACTGGCTGGCTGTTTAGGAAAAATATAATCAAATCAGTTCTACACTTCATTCCTTATTCTGAAATAAGTCCCAGATGGATGAAGTATTTAAATGTGAAAAGGAAATCATAAAATTACTAGAAGAAAACATGAACAAAAGATTTTAAGTATATATTCTTGGATTGGGGAAAGTATGGCACAAAACATGGGAGTCACAAAGGGAAAGATTTTTTAAAGTTGGCTACATAAAAATGTAATATCCTAAAGTCCAAAGGCAAATAACAAACCAGAAGAAATATTTTCAGTATAAATGACAGATGAGTTCTTACAAATCAATAAGGAAAAGAAAAACAAATAGAAAAATGGGCAAAGCACATCAACAGAAAAAGGAATATTAGTGGCCAATAAACGGGTGAAAATGCCCACCCTCAGTCAGAATAATAAGAAATCAAAATTAAGAAAACAATATGATTCTTTTTTCTGTGATCTGGTTGACAACAACTGAAATGGGCGACCCCTTACTTTGTGGACGCAGGCCTCCTCCGAGTTGGTGGGAAGGCAACTGCACCTGTGATGGGGGTTGGTGATACATGAGAAGAATTAATTCACAAATCGTTGGCTCAGGGGTCCCATATTTAGGAATTTATCAGATACATGTCACAAATATCACAGGTGTTCAAAGTATACATCCAAGTATGTTCATTGCAATTTTGTTTCCAAATCTGGAAAACTGGAAGCAATGTCAAGTTCATCAATGGGGGGGGATTAGCTACATTATGGGGCATCCAAACACCAGAGTAGTGTGCAGTGGTTAAAATGAATGAGGTCCAGCTTTATGCATTGATAGTTACTAAAAGCAAGAGGCAGGGCGTTGCTTGGACCACACTAGTCAACAAAGGGTATGCCCTTGGGCAGCATCGGCATCCCACGAAGACTGTTAGAGAGCCAGAATCTTGGGTGACCTCAGAACAACTGGGTCAGAAACCCAGGGGCTGGGGCCCAGCAGTCTGTTTTAACATGATTTCTAGGGAATTCTGATGCACACTCATGTTTGGGAAGTAGAGGTGAGGAGTATGTCACTATTTGTGTAAAAAATGGATATAAATCTATCTGCCCTCTGCTTAGAAAATTTCAGGGATTCACTCTGAGCAGAATGAGGTGGGGCTGAGGTGAACTTGCACTTTTCACTTTATCTGCTACTGAACTCTTCAGATGTTTTACCCTGAGAATATATTACTTTGATTTCCTAAAAAAGTAGTTAATAAACAAGCTACGCAAATGTGGTATGTACATACAATGGAATATTATTCAGCCTTAAAGAGGAAGGAAATTCTGACACATGCTACAATGTGGATGAACCTTGAGGACGTTATGTTAAGTGAAATCAGCCAGGCCAGTCACGAAAGGACAGATACTGTATGACTCCACTTTAATGAGGTATCAAATTCATAGAAACAGAAAGTAGAATGGTGGTTGCCAGGGGCTGGGGGGAGGGAAGAATGAGGAGTTAGTGTTTAATTGGAACAGAGTTTCAGTTGGGGAAGATGAAAAGACTTCTGGAGATGGATGGCGGCAATGGTTGCACAACAATGTGAATTACTTAATTCCACTGAACTGTGCACTTAAAAATGGTTAAGATGGTGAATTTTATGTTCTTTGTATTCTACCACAATTAAATGAATGTTAAAAAAAAAAAAACACACACAAACCCAGCTACCTGACCAAAAAGGTATGTAAAGTAGAGATAGTGATTGAAGCCGACAGGTTCTGTGAGAGCCTCTGTCTAGATTACTGAGTATGAACTTGAGGGTTGGGCACGATGACAACTCTTTCTGCTGCAGAGTCGGGTTGCAGCAAGTCTTGGCAGCCGATAAGAGAGAGACCACATCCTCGCCCACACAATAGGAAGCAGACCTAACGAACTTGCTGCCTTGAGAGATGCCATAGGCTGGCAATAGGGACAGATAGGAGAGTGGTTTGGGTGCAAGACAGAGGCATGCGAGGTTATTGGGGTGGCCGGGCCATTGCCCATTCCCTGCTGCCTCTGCTGAGACCCTTCCCTGGGCTAGGAAGGGGCTGGCTCTCCACGTGGGTCAGAGCTCTGCAGAGTGGTGAGCCCAGTGGCCCAGGGGAGATGGCTTCTGTGGGGAGAGGAGGGAGAGAGGGCAAGATGAGCAGAAACTGGTAGGGTCGGGCATGGGTTTCCTGGGGACAAGTCTGTGCTCAGACATCTGGCTGGAGCAAGGACTGTGCCTGAAAGAGGGATGATGCTAGGGTGGAGGGTAAGAGGGAAGGGGGCACTGGCCAAACTGGACCTAGCACAACCAACTGGGGCCAAGGGGTAGAGGATGGTACGTGGGCTTCCCCCCACCCCCCCACCATTCTGCCAGCTTGGGGGAGAGGGCTCCTGTATCAGGCTCTGGGGACTTCTCCAGGTAGCCCATTCCAACCTGGATACACATCTGCTTACACATCCTGGACCCTCCCTCCCCAGGCACCAGGCATCTGGGGCTGCTGGGAAGCAAGCAGGGGGGCTTGTGGCCAAGGAGGAGTCCAGAGGTGAGGAGGCCCTGCAGCCAACATGGTTAGGCTGAGGGGGCAGTGCAAAGCGAAGGGAAGGGGGAGAGGATCTGGAGAATCTTCTGAGTTTCTGTGCATTCCCTAGGACTAGGGCAGGAGACACCAATGAGATTGGAGGCTTCCTGCCTAAATCCCCCCCAGGGCCAGCCTGGGCTCTGCACTCAGCCTGCCCCCATTTAGCAAGCTCCTTTCAGGAAGGTGGAGACCAGTCCCTGACCTCAGGGAGCTCATAGTCCGACTGGGAGAGGGGCTACCCTGACTCAGGCAGGGTGGGTGCCCACCACATGCCTGGCTGGCTCACTCCAGGGCTGGATCTACCCTGGCTCTGCAACAGTCACAGGCCTCAGTCTCCCCATCCGTACAGTGGGGTTGATATCTCAGGGCACTGTCAGCCACGGTGATGCCCAATGCCCAGTGCTAGGTGGGGAGACACAGGCTCTCGGACCCCGCCAGCCTGGAGGTGGGGTTGTCAATGGAACAAGGAGGGCCCAGAAGTCTTTGCTTTTGCTGTGGCCATGTCAGCCCCAGTGCTGCATGGCTTTGTGGTTCATTTGCTTGAAAGAGGTGCAGGAGGTGAGGAGGAGACAGGGAGGAGTGGGGGCAGAGGGCTGGGGAAAGCTCTGCTCCTGGTATGAAAAGGTGAAAAGGTTAAAAAGGCCTGTCCAGCCTGCTTCCTGCTTCCTTCACTGCCAAGTGTGTCCACTTCAGAGTAGGGCTGGCCCTCACAGTGATCCATGGGGGAAGGAGGCCTCTCGTCTCCTCTAATCCAGGGGGCTGGTGCACACGATAAGGACGAGCTGGTAGGGGTTGGGACCCACTTCCTGTGCTGATTTGGACTCATGGAAGCAGGAGCCTGCCTAGCCCTGCCTCCCCAGGCCACAGATGCTCAGACTTGTCTGCCCCTCCCCACGCTCAACTGTGGACCTGGGAAGAACTGGGCCTGCAGCCCCTCCAGCTGAGGGTGGTGGGATGTGAGATGATGGTGTCAGAGAATGCCAGCTCTCTCAGCTGGTCCTGCACACATGTCCTGTGGGTCCACCCTGCCCAGCAGATGATTTAGCCCAAGAGACTGAGGCTAGACTGTGGGAGGGACCACCCAGAGAGGTGAGTGGGTAAACTGGGAGCAAGCTGTGCACTGAGGGAGCCCCTCCTGCCAGTGATTATAACTGTCCTCCCTCAGGATGGGGTTTTTTTGGGAAGTTGATCCCTGCCGCCTCCAAGGAGCCTGAAAACCCGGAATGATGAAGATAGTGGATGAGTCACCTGTTCTAGAGCTAGAGGAGATCCAGTTTATTGGAAAAGACACAGGCCCTGCTTTCATGGAAATCACAGTCTGAGGGGAGACCAGCCCTGCCCTCAGGGAGCCCCGATCTGAAGGGGGCACACCGCCTTGTCCTCAGGGAGCCCCAGTCTGAGGGGAGACACAGCCCCGTCCTCAGGGAGCCCCAGTCTGAGGGGAGACACAGCCCCTCCCTCAGGGAGCCCCAGTCTGAGGGGGGAGACAGGGCCCTGTCTTCAGGGAGCTCCCACTTGATGGGGAAATGCCCTATGCTCCCTACTTCCTTCCAGACATCCACCTCTTGCTCCATGAATCTCCCTCCCTGGCGTGTTATTTTTCCTCCCTAGCCCCATCCTCTGCTCTCCTGGAGGGTTTCTTCTCCAGGAAGGATTGGGTGGGGGGCATCGGGAGCCCCTGTCTGGCTCTGCCGCCTCCTCCTTGCTGACTCCAAGCCTGCTCACCGGTCCTGCATAAAGCCTGTGAAGCCTGAGTGTGAGGGTTCCAGGAGGGGAGACTGAGTCATGGTGACTCAAGGGTGGATTGGACCCTCCTACCCCCGAGAACAGTGTCCCCCCTACAGTGTGTGAGCGGCGACACCAGGGCCAGGGATAGTAAAAGAAGGGGCGCCTGCTGATTCCCAGCTGCAGCCGCAGCCACCCTCGTCTACGTGCGCCGGGCTGCGCATGCGTGGGTAGAGCATGTGCCCCTCGAAGCCTGTCTCTCCGCATCTCGGCAGACGTGAGGCTGGAGTGAATCACGGAGCAAGAGGTGGATGTCTGGAAGCCAGATGTGGCCCAGCTGTTCAGGGCAGCGAGCCCAGCCACCCCCAGAGCAGATGTGGCGGCACTTCTGTCTCCCTCCACCCTCGGTCTCCCAGGCTCTCAGAAGCACTTCCGGGGAAGATCCCCTGCCCTGGGCTCAGCCAGGGATCCTTTCTCCCTGCTGTGAGCAGATATCTCGCCCCATCAAGTGGGGTCCCTGAGGGGGTAAGAACAGGGCTCCACACATTCACACATGCCTGCACACCTTCGCTTAAGCCTGAGTGCTCATGGGTGCATAGCCCTCAGACAGAGCTAAGGCTGGGTCCCCCTGTCACCCTGTAAGTTCCCTCAGGCAGATGTCAATACAACTTCCCCATCAGATGGGGGCTCCCTGAAGGCAGACTTCCTTCTCTGCCTGTCAGACTGCGGATCGCTGAGGGCAGGGCTGGGGCTTGCCCCTTGGGCGGCTTCCTCTGGAGTCTTGGAGCTAAGGTCTGCCCCAGGTCCCTTCCTTGTCCTATTTGGCCACCTCCCCATTCCTTGAGGCTTCCCGGTGTCTCCTGTGGTCCCTCCTGTGGTCACTTCACTCTCAGTGGCTGGGAAGGCAGCAGATTCCCAGCATCTTTGACATGGCCGGTGACTCAGCCCCCTCAGCCTTTCTCCCCCTGCCTGGGCAGCCTCAGGCCCCACATCACAGTGGGGAAACCCCTCTGCTTCCCTCCTTCCCTGACGTCTATGCCTGTCTCCCGTGTCCTCCCAGTCAGGACAGCCCCCTCCTTGCTCACACACACACTGTAGTCTTAATCCACTCGCAGATCGTGAGGAGGAAGTGTGTCATACATTCTATCTTCACAAGCCTCGGATGTTGATAGGGAATGTGATCTCTATTTGGCAAGGGAGGAAACTGGGGCTCAGAAAGGTTAAGGGACCAGCTCAGGGTCGCACAGCTTCTGGGTAGCAGACTGGGACCGGGAGCAGGGCCTGACTATGCATGTGTGCCCAGCCAGGTAGCCGGGACAGCATGACTCGCTCAACCTCTGCTCTCAGGGAGCCCCCACTTGGGGCGTCTGTGTCTGAGGGGGCACATGCTTGAGTGAGCGCTGTGCATTTGTGTGCTGACACATTTCCTGTCTTCCTTCAGACCCTCAAATCTGATGGGGGAGACGCTGCCCTCAGCCCGTCCTCCTCGGCTCCACTGCAGGCACTGACAGTCTTCCTGGGGAGAGGATGGGAAGAAGCCAATGCCCATGGAGGGGTAAATGACAGTGCTTGGGCTGAGCCAGTCATGCCATCAGGGTCACCTGGCTGGGCTTGATAGTGGCTTGCAGCAGAGCCCGAGTGCCAGGGAAGGAGCCGCTCTGTGGGTTTGGCCCCAGGGAGTGGAGGCCAGGATGGTGGGCTTCCACGGGGCAGACGGAGGACATTCTGATCATTGCATAGAAGGAAGCTTTGAGCTCTGCTAGGTGAAGGGGAGTAGCACCTTCTACGTGTGAGGCACCCGCTGCTGCTCTTCCTCCCTACGTCACTGCGCCCATTTCGCAGACGAGGACACATTGGCCTGGGGAGGGACTTCGCTTGGCCTATAGCGCACAGTTGCAGGACTTGAGCCCATGTCGGTCAGACCCAAAAGCCATCATTCCTGTGTGGTAGGAGGAGGTAGAATGCCCAGTCTCGTCCCTGCTCCTGCTGTGTTCTATTGGGGAGTGATTCGGCTCTTGACTCAGCCTGCTTACGTTTGAATCCTGACTCTGACCCTACCAACTGTGTGGTATGGGTAAGTTACTTGACCTCTCTGTGCCTCTGTTTC